CAGCAGAATCCCAGATACCGGTGCCCCACGGACCGGTACTTGGCCATCGACGCCTCCTTGCCCTTGAGCCCGAATGGCATCCCGCTGGGGCTGGTGCTCACGATGCTCGCGAGCCATTGGAGCGTCTCGGCCGGCACGCTGTCCAGACGCCATCCGCACCGTTCCACCTCGCGGTCGAAGCTCTCTCCGAGACGCAGCAACGCCGACCGTTCTCGCACGGCCTCTTCGTCTTCTTCCCAGCCTCGTCCCGCCCGCATGCTCTTCGCCCGTATCCATTCGGCAGCTTCGAATATGCCGAGACGATCCCGAGACCCGAAATGCTTGACCCATCGCACCCTCTTCACCCACGACGAGTCCCGGTCCATCTCTTCTTTCAGATCGCCCGTCCGTAGTCGCTCGGCATCCTCGGCCTCCAGTTCAGCCGTGCACTGGGCCATCAGTAGCTCCATCGTCTCGTTCCCGGCGCTGCTGGCCGAGTCGGGCCCCGCGTCGGCCTCGTTGCTGCGGACGATCCAGTACCGCGCATACTTCCCGCGCATCCACGTCTGCAGTCGAACCTTCGTCGACCTGGGCCCGGTTGCCGCATGCCCGGTCTCCCTCCAATGGCGTGTGATGTTGTCTCCCGCCGTTGTGAGATAGCGGCACGCGGAGCAGCTGTAGCCCGGGAGGACATCGAGCTGTGCGACGGCCGAGCTCCCGTCGACGGGAAGCGTGTCGACCTTGGGATCGGCCAAGTCCGAGCCGCTGTAGTAGTCTCTGATGTCTCTGAGGCTCTCGCCTTTCAGCTGGTGCTCGTGGCGGAAGTGCGACTCGATGCTGCTGCCGCCCGGCCGGACGGCCGCCTTGCATCGGCGGCAGATGAGCATACGATGCTCCTCGTTCATCTCGACGAAGCTATCCATGCTGGGTCACTGCCTCTGGCCCTTTCCCTTCCCTTGTGGCAGGAAAGCAACGAGTCGTCCTTCCTTCCCGTCGCTTTCCCCCTCTCTTCTTCGACTGCCCTGCCCCCCTTTCTCTCGTAGGATGAACCCTGGTAAAAGCGAACCCCAAGTCTCCGGTTGGGGTTACGCGCCGGCCAATCACCGCTCCGTCCCGGCTCCAACCGATACGGCTCCAACGCTCGGACCAGGGGGCGCGGTTTACGTGGCCGATTCTACTCGAATCGGCTGCGAATAATACCTAGGTTCGCAATAGAGCGTAAATCAATATCAATAATAACCCTCATTCTCATCAAACTCTATCTATAATGACCTTTTCAACCCTAACATATATCGCTTTTTCTCTACCTTCTTTATATACTTCATTAACTTAACCCTTTTTTCTACTATGTTTTCCCTTTTTTTTAAAATAATATAAGTTATCTCTACTTATTGATTTTTCTAACCTTGTTTTTTTCTTCCCTTTTTTATTATACACCTGTCACAGACCCGCTGTCCTAGACCCCAACCTTGAGGTTGGTGTTGAGTAACCCGGTGGCCGGGTTACGTAAGCCTGAGGCTGGATAAAAACTCTGCATCCTGTATTCTGTCGCGCATGTCCAGAAACGTAGCTCCTTGAGCTACGTCTTGTCAACAGAGCCTGTACCTGCTTAGGATAGAGCCTGCCCGTAGCAATAGATTGTCTGATCCGCCTGCCCAGCATCCACCTGCCAAACAACCTGCCTGCTACCGTGACAACACCCGACTTCTTTTTATTTTATCTGTCCCCCTTTTTTTCCTCTTTTATCCTTGTATTCTAAGCCCTTCTTTCTTTTATCTTTCTAACCCTAACCCTCTTATCCTATAACCCTTTTTTTGAAATAAAATAAAAATAAACAAAGTAGTAACCAATACCTACAAGTAGTACTTATAAAAATAAAAACTCGCTATAACCTTCTTTACAGCGATTTTTCTTTCCCTTTTTATTAATTTCCCATTGTACTTAGTACTTTAATTCTATTTTTCATCCCTAGCTTCATTCCTTCTCTTTTTTATCCTCCTCGTTTTTTAAACCCTAATTTATTTTTATATCCTTACGCTTAACCCTACTTCTTATTTCCTTCTCTTCAAGTAGAATAACCCCTTGTAAGTACTCACTTAGTAGAATACGTATAATATGATAGCATTATTATAATAACGAAGTCCTAGATAATATCTTCTACTTCTGCCATGTAGAAGAAAGCCTTGCACAGATTCGAAGCCTCTAACCCGCCCCATCGGACCCGCCTCCCCATCCATCTCCATACGTCCACCTCCCGTAGCCCCTGTCCTTCCGACGCACCTGCTTCCCCTGCCAATCCCAGCTCGAAGAATAGCTCTCTCGCCTCGTCCGGCGTTATCGTATATACATACGTAATCGTCGATAGTATCATACCTCGATAGCGATACTTGCTATCCTCTCTCCTCCGTTACCCGCCCTCGCCTGCCTTCTTCTCCTATCGGGTATATAGTTCTTGTGGGAGAAAGTAGTCGTAGTACCCGCCGAACCTCTCTACCCCCCTTACCCTCCGGAAGTACGTATGTATCCGGAGCCCTATATTAAACGTTTTCTACGCTAGTACGTCCCCTATCCGGGACCTGCCGTAGTCGAGCTCTATATAGTCCGGCGTAGCGTCCGCCCTATTAGCCCCGTAGTAGAATATATACCCTCCGAAGAGCCGTGCCTCGAGCTACTCTCCGAACCTTTTTACTTCCTCGGCCTCCCGTATTACCTTATCCGCTACCCGGCTTCGGACCTATCGGACGCTAATCTCGTGCTCTTGTATATCCGCCTCTTCCTCGTCTTTACCCGCCTCCGGGTCGTCCGTCTTTGCCTCCGCCTCCTTTACGTCGTCCGCTACTTAGTATACGTCGTACCGCGCCTTACCCTCTTCGTACTTATCCTGGTCGCCGCGCCCGTCTATTTCCGAATCTAAAATTACTTTCTAGTATATACCGCTGTTAACGAAATCCTCGGCTGGGCTATGTACCCCGGACCCCGTCTACCGTCTTGCTTGCCCCGGCCCCCCTTCCGCCGCCGCCTTTATTACCCGTACGACGATTGCCTCGCTAGCTTTGTTATTGCGCCCGGCCCGCCCGCTCTGCTGTGTATAGTCCGCTATCTCAAACGGTATCTCGACGTATATTATTACCCGGATATCGGGTATGTTTATCCCGAGCCCTAGTGCGTTCGTCGCCACGATCACCCGCCCCCCTCTATATCGTGCCCGCTCGAGTCCGCTCGTCCAAGCCCGCAGCCTCTCCGCCTTTCCGTCTCGTGTGTCGACGTTGCGGTAGTATACGTCGTAGTTTAGCTCTGTAGCGAGAGCGTCCGTCGCTACTACCGTCCTATAGTATACAATTATATTAGCCGGCGCGCCGTATGTTTTAAGCTTCTCTTTGAGTAGCGCGCGAACCCGTTGTATTATCCCCTATATAGCGTCCTCTGCCGTCGTCGCCGTGATGGTTTCTATACTATATACGACGTTGGCCCGTGTCGTCCTGGCCCTGATCGTCGTGATCTCCTCGCGCCGTATATTAATAAGCTCCGAGAACGCCGCTTCCTGGCGCGGCGGTAACGTTACCGTTAGATATATTATTTGAACCCCGATAAGTACGAGCCGGCCTAGCTCGCGTAGCTTCGGCCGGAAGTCCCGTATGCCTTTTAAGATAATATATACTTCGTTAAATATAAACCCGTCGAGCTATATTATTACCCGGAGCCTTTCTACGTAGTCCTAAAACCGCATCGTTATAACCAATTTAGGCGTTATAAATACAAGTAATGCCGCCCCGGGGGACCCGTCGCTACGCCACTCCGTATACGGGATTTTTATCCGCCGGCAGCGTTCTATCAAGTCGCCTTAGAGCGATACGAGCGGTACGACGATGACCGTTACGCCCCCGGGGCAGCTTACCGCCGGCAGCATAAAGCTCAAGCTCTTCCCGCCCCCCATCCCTATCACCACCACGATCGGGCTCTTATTCGCCATGATCGCCTAGATCGCCGACCGCTAGGCGCCTCGGAACCGGGCGTCCGCCCCGTACAAGCGGACGAGCTTACCATCGATATCGATCCGCCGCCACAGCTTCCACCTCGCTAGCTACAGCGCCCGGAGCGCTTCGTCGTACGTCGACGCCGTCTTTCGCTTACGGCCGGGCGTAAGAGCCAAGCCGAAGCCCCCCAGTGCGGACGGGAAACCCAACAGTCGGTGCCATTCTTCGCTGATCTGGCGGAAGCGGACCCGACGTTCGTTCGTCTCGAACCCGCCTTCGGTCACCAGCCGTCCGTAGATCAACCCCGCCACCTTGGACCCGTGGCCCGCTTATAAGTCGTACGGGCTGTCCTCGTCGTCGTCGTCGCTCTCGCTACCGCTGTGGTCGGAGTCGACTTCGCAGAGCAGCTTGGTGTGCGCCGTCGACGCGTTGCGGAAGTACCGCCGCCCGATGGCCGTCGAGATATGCCGCCAGCTGCTGATGTTCAGCTTCTGCCCAAAAGCCAACGCGCTGAGCCGCCCGATGCTGCGTGACAAGCGCGGTGACGTCCAATGTTCTCCGGGGCCTAGCCTCCACCCGTCGTTATCGTCGTCGTCGTCGTCGTCCCCGCCTGCTCCGTCGTCCCCGCCTGCTCCGTCCTGAACCGTCCGTCCGCCCCCCTGCTGCGTCTCGTCCCCCTGTGTGCCTTCCGTCGCCCACAACCCCGCGTCGAACCGGGACCGGTCCCATACGTTAGCCTGGACGTCCTCCCAGAATGGCAGTACGAGCCACAGATAGTACGTCAGCAGAGTCCCGACCTCGCGCGGCAAGAAGCGGTGGATGATCTTGAGTCGCCCTGTCGTGGTGAAGCCTTTGTGCGCCCCCGTCACGACCATGACGAGTCCTCGGTCGCAGAAGATGTTGCGTATGCCTCCGTTACACGTGTTCCGGAGAGACTAGATGCACAGATCAGCCAGCAGCGAAACCACACGCAACTAACATCATCAAATTGACCGGAGACACCCCCACGCACCCTCGTGCCATCGTCAGCAGGACTAGCTTCGGCCGTCGACGATAGGACGTCGAACACTTTGAGAAACAACTCCGAGAGGGCCTGTTATTAACCCCACGAGCAACCGCAGCATTGGCATGTAAAACTGAAGATGACACATACGGAGACGGACAGGACTTGTATGGGCTTCTGGGAGGCAAGGATATGAACGTAGGTGGAGAATATGAAGATAACCATACGAGCCCTAAATAGCTTAGCCGGGGCGTAATAAACTATGCATGTATGTATGTAAGTCTAAGTCTAGTTGTAGGGTTAAGTTTAAAACTCTCATGTTGTGATGGTGCATAGCTATGCCGAGAGGCCGAGCTGCGATAGACGAGAACAAAACTATTACAATTATCTTACATAGAGGATAAAGCAGTTCCTGCCAGGCTGAGAAGGCAGAGTGATGTTCAATTTCCCAAGCTTGGCTTCCAAGTGGAATGCTTCCCAAGCCTGTTCTTTACCATCTCAATATCGCCCGAAAAGATTCCCTGAGGTTCAACTTGCTTTGTTGGCCTTTTTGTCAACTTGCTGCCCTTTAGAACCTCCGCCGTCCATCTGCGCTTGTTCGGCACGAGTTGCGTGAGTGCACGCCGAGGTGGTCTTAAGAGCTGCGCCCTTTCAAAGTCGATCACCATGATCCCGTTAATCTCCTTATTAAACACCATGTTTTCCTTCCGCACGTCTTTGTGCACAACACCCTGACAATGAATTGCACCCAATGACTGCATTGCCATCGCTTCCAGGTGCCAATCTCCACCGCTTACGCCCTCTATCGTAGAGAGATCATGTCCTCCCCACGACAGAAATGTCATATGCACCACGTAGACTCGGTGATCGTAATAATAAGTCCTGTTCAGCGGCCGGAGGTCAATGGCCCCAAGAAACACAGGCACATGTGTACCTTGGATAGGCCGTAGACGCTCGTAAACGGCTGCCTCGTGCTCAAGGTCTTTGATGAATGCCCGTACTGTACCCTTGCTGACAAAGGTATAGCTATATGCAAGCAGGCTCACTTTAAACATGACTCCCCGCGCACCGCCTTGTCCTAAAGGTGTTATGCCGTCGTCTAGTGTCTGTTCTAGCTGCTCTCTGAGAAGCTTCACGAATCTAGTGTGGTTGATTGGATGATGAGTATCTGGGCGGTTACTGCTGTGGTCGTGGCGGCGGCCATTGCTCGGCTTCCTACTGTGAAAGAAGTTGTTTGGGCACCCTGAGTCGAGGACTCCGCCGCTAACAAGCCCCAATAAGCACTTCTGGGTGCAATACGGCGTATGTTTGTCGTTTCTTCCCCTTTCTCCACTATCTCGAGGCCGATGCGCTAGGATCCGCTCACTGCGTCGGGTTCCCTGACTACCTTGATCGCCCCGGATTTCGGTGTCCCTTCCGCGTGTCTGCCGCTCCCTTGGAGTGGGTGTGTCTGGTATATCCCGTCTCGACTCGTCCTCAGATGATTCATCCGTGTCCCTCCTTACTTGCTCCCTGGCATGTCCGTCCCTCGTATGTCCTCGCCTCTTCCTTCGGATGAAGCAAGATCTGTCGATATCCTTGTAAGCCTTCGGTTCGTATCCCGGCGAGCTCTCCGGTGGCTGCCTTTCTTCGTCTGGAACTGATCGTAGCGTCGTCTCGAAGTCTTCCGCCCACGTCTTCAGCTTGTCCATAGCTTGGCGCCGCTCATCCTGTCCATGTGGCTGTCGCTCGCCTGGCATACCAAGAGCAATCAGGCTGAAGGCCAGATACTGAGCAACTGCCGTACAGAGGTGGGGATGCTCGGGGTGAGCATCCACCTCCGCAGACGGCTCCGCTAGATGATAGAAGAGTGTCTCGGGCTCGCGCCAGTCAATCTTCAAGAACACGATCGCCTCGCCCGTCGTCAACAAGCCGTGCTCGAGTCCGCCTTCGATCATGTAGTGATAGGTCTGTGAGATGGCGGCTGCCGTAAGTCTCTCCGCATGATACTGGAACCGCGCGTCTGGGTCAACTGATGTGGGGATGGTCTTTCGGTTGACCACCTCTTTATATATATTCATCGGACGCAGACCGAGGCGAAGATGCGGCGCAGCAAGCTTATGCGGTGGTTTATATTCGGAAACGTAGAGCATCGAACGGCTACTCGAGTCGTCGTCGTTTTCGGATCGGTAGACGCAGATCTGATCGGCTCGTAGCTGTTTGAGGTTGACTTTGCTGTTGTGCGGTGTGGAGGGGGGTGTCGATGGGACGTTGCGGTCAACGACTTCCTCGGCTATGTCGCTGATGGCATGCGGGTGGTTCTCGAAGACGATTCCGTTGCCTAGATCGAACGCGCTTTTGACTTTTTCCACCTCCTTGAGCTCGTCCATGATCGTTCGAACGGGGTCCTCGACGCTGTTATGTAGGAAGTACTCGAGGGCCTTTTCGTCAGTGATCTTGCGCTTCGCGATTCTGTTGCCTAGGCCTGACAGAAACGATCGGCTCTCGAAGCGGCGTCCGTGGACGGGAAAAGTGCTGTAGAGGGTGCCGAATACCATGCTCTGTTGCTGCAGGAAGTTGGGCCATGGCTGGAGATTGGTCGGACACCACTTATCCCGCGGATTTGTAATGGAACCCTTGGAGGTCAGTCTACGGTCAGTTTCGACAGTAAATTTGGTGTAAACGAGGGAATGACAGGCAGCGATGTATTCGTCGAGCGAAGTAGGTTGGGTTTGTTGTTCTGCCTCGTCGGCACGCTGTTGTTCTCGCCGTCGTTCTCCTTCTGCCGCCTCAGCGCGTTGTTGTTCTCGCTGTCGTTCGCTTTCTGCCGCCTCAGCGCGTTGTTGTTCTGCCTCAGCGCGTCCCTCGGCTTGTTGCAAAAGCCTGGTCAATTCATCAACACTTCGTCGTTCGCCCATGATGGCTGTGGCTGACGTCCTGATAACGGTCGGTTTCTAGAATTGTTGTTCAACGGGAGAGAAAGCGTTGGCTCAAAGCCTAGCCTTACCATTAGAGTGGATTCTTTTGCGTTACTAGGGGTTACCCTACCCGAGCATTGTCAGCGTGCAGAGGGTGCTGATGCACGAGCCACATCCCTGATATCAGAGTCGTGGCCCGTGCGTGCTGAACTGACTTCCGCTGGTCATTCGCCGATTTGACGTCCATCGTTATTACGAGAGAATGCTGCTCAGGCGCTAGCAGTGCAGCGGGCGAGGCCGGATGTCGATACAGCACAGCAGAATGTCCGTCGAATCGATACAACGCGCCGTGGCCTTCGACGTTTTCAGTATCCTGGCAGGGAGCACCTTACGCAACCGTATGTGACCTATCGAAACGTATACCAAGAGCGAGTGACGATGACGATGCGTTTGTCGCACTGCATGTAGACAATATTGCATCTGGGGAACTGGTGGTGAATACCATTACAATGCCTCGGAACACTACCTGTGTGCCCAGACCCGAAAGGTAAATCAAAGCTGGTTGAAAGCAATGAATGGAGTGGCGCATGAGGAAGCCATGCGTCCTGTGACATCCATCCTTGCTTTAGACGCCAAGTTGCCTTCGGGGCCCGGGCAAAGATAACGGCTGGTCGTGCCTCACATTTACCTGGTGTCGAACTAATTGATCTTTCCTTGCAAAACAAGCCGTATTAGGGCACCCAGGTAACGTCCCGTGATACCAACATCAGCACTCAATCTTATGGGACGTGACACTCCACGAATAGCCTTTATGGGTTTTCACACTGGACGTTCATTCTGGACGGCCATCCTGGAGGAGGCTGACGTTAGAAGAATGCCATCTGAGACGATGTGCTCTCTGATGTAATATAACCGTCGCCTTCTGGTAGGAATGCACATCCATGTCTCAGACATGTAGTTGTCTCCCCTTTCACTGAAAACCTGCCCTCATCATTTCCGAGCTGCTTACATTAATAGTTCTCTTCGTAGCTCTCCCTCAACATCCCAGGTGTGCCGTACCAACACCATCTCCTTCTTTCCGAATAGAAAATGGTGTAATGTCTGGGTTGAAATCATTTCGGCGACCACAAAGCAAATTTCAAGTCGCTTTAACGCCCCGCTCAAGAATAGCACTCAAAATCCCGGTTCACTAAGCAGCCGACGGGACAATCTCCTCACCCCAGGCCTTGAGCTCCTCCAAATGTGTCTTCATCTTTGCTAGGTCCCCCGTTACCACCGTTGTGAGTGAGGCAACGCTCTCCCGGATTGTGTCCCTACGGCTTCGGAGACCCGACAGAGTCGTTAATCGAAGACGTAGCTTCCGCGTCATCGACGTGTCGCTGATTCGGCAGCTTTCCAGTTGCTCCAGTGCGGATTGACAGTGGAGCACCTCTTTCTCTACTTCATCTACTTCGTCCAGGTCGCCGTCAGACGGCGGAGAGACAGCAAGGAGAGGTCGCCATTGCTGAGTCCCAGCACGGGACAGGGACTGCAGAAGATCCCGCATGCCATTCAATTCTGCTTCAACCTGCAATCCCTCTGACCACATCTTGTTATGTTGCTCTTTTACGACCCGGGCGACGTCTTCCATGAATGTCGCCTGCTGCTTGTGCCAGAATTGGTAGTCAGCCGGAGTCATGGTCGGCGGCAGCATAGGCGGTATTGCGATGCTCTCCGTCGAAACGGACGGCGCCTGCAGCTTGATGTCAGACAGGAGTGAGCCATGATGCGCTCCGTTGGCCAGGGCAGCGAGAACAGGTCGCCAAATTCCGTAGTCAGTAATGGCTGGGATCGGTTGGCCACTGATGATGTGAAGGGCGTTGACTATCGACGCAACACCGCTGTCGGCGTCCTTCGTCTGCTCTGGGCACTGGTGAAAGGCAAAAGCAGCATCACAGCCGAAATGTGGCAACAGATGCCCCAGCGTCCTCCGGACAGCGCCCTCATCTGTAGAGGCAGATTTCGAGTCAAAGATAGTGACCACGTTCTCGGATATGACGGCAAGTATCCAGTGGGTATGAGTGTCGAGGTTTATGGGAGCCAGGATAATACTACCGGCGTTTGCTGCTAGGTCGTCAACAAGGTCCTTCGGTGATTCTTGTCCGTTAAGCAGCAGTGGATCAAGGACTCGCACAGAAATCGGGCACAGGGCGGCTGCCGCTTTGATGACCTGGTAAATTATGCCCTCTTTGACATGCTGGTCATGTGCAAGGCGTCTCGAGTCGAATCTGTCGAGCGACGCCTGCGGTGACGTAGCTAGCCGTTGTCGCTTGGGAATTGAAGGCAGCGGGGATGCCGGTCGCTTTTCAGCGACGGACAGCTCATTAGCCCCGAGGGCGAACTCTAGATCAGGACTTGCAGCAGGTGCTGCTGATGATCTTTTCGATAGGAAGGTACGCTCTGGCAGTTCTGCCTGCACGACAATCGTTGAGCTGGCCGCAGATGCGGGAGAGAGCTGACGTTTATCGGTTTCGAGATAGGATCCGGTCCTGTGGTCAAGACGGTTGAAAGTCGGTGTCTGGCGTGTATGACCGCTGCCGTTCTCCGAGCTGAAAGCCCCGTAAGCGGTGAAATGACCGATGGGATGCACCCTAACTGGGGTGGGCTGCGATAGGGTGCCGTTGACGTCCGACGGCGGTGGAAATCTTGGGAATAATGGCACGCAAGCGGGCCATCAGTGCGTATGGGTCGTGGGTCTTCATCTCGTAACCGTCTGCTCGAAGGCGTGAAGCCACGGGGTTGATGCTCGATCGGATGAGGGCAAAGGCGTGGATTCTGTCGTTCTTCCACTTCTTCACAGCGTCGATCTGGGCAGCTGTAGGGACTTCATCTTCGTGAGGTCTAGCAACGTCAGATTCAACGTAGTGGGACAGATCCAGTGATTCTAATGTCAACATCAGCATATCCATCCAGTCATCCCAGTTCTCCTCTCCCTTCAGCTGAGGGATGGACCAAGTGGCTCTTCCGCCATCGGAAGACCCTTGGTAGGACATGGTGATGATCTGTAGGTTGTTGATTGATCGTACGGTTGATCGATGGATTAACGGAATCCTTGTCGATCAGCAGGGTCGGGATCCTTGCTTTGGCGTGGCAGGGATCAAGGGTCGGGGGTGGACTTCACGTATTGACGACGTGACGGTCCAAACAAACAAACGGAGGAAATCGCGGCAGGCGAATCCAACGGAATAATCGAATAGCTTCAATAGCTGGGGAAAGAGTCAAACTGGGCTCATAACCTGTGGGCAGTACACACTGCTCATCTGGATCAACGAGGCAATCGATCAGGCAATGTAACTGGTATTGTTGGTTGGTTCGGTGATGTCGTGCAGAAGGTGAAAGGTGGCTGCGGTGGGCTGGATCAACCAGGAGGTGGATCGGGCAGCTGGTGCCTGGGGCACCAGCCACTGCCTCAGGTATCCATAGTCCCACAGTAACTGTTTCCCAACAAAAGCCAGGCTTCGACGAGCTCCAGACCTAGTAGTCCTGGATAGTACACATATGGGCGGTTGTGAAGGAGTCCGGGCCCGACTTCTGCCACTCGGCCAAGTTAACACTAAAGTTTGAGATTCAGCGGCTCTACGGCCCCCGTTTACCAAAAATGAGCCTCATAAATTAAGACTCCACCGCCTCGGACGGGCCAGGGACGTTCCAGGCGGGACAGTTGTAATTGGTGAGTCTACGACTACGGTAGCCTATCAACAAGAGAGGCGGTGCCAACCAACACCGCGGTCTGTGCAAGGGAACTCCATCCTATCCGTCTAGCCCAGCCATCACAAGAGGTACTGTCAGTGCTTTTTCTTGGCTTTGCCTTGCCGACGGGAGTACTGTGGGTCCTGGAGCCGTGTTAGTGTTAAGTACCCGCTGGAAAAATCGGTGGATGGCGTTGATCATGTTGATCTGTATCCCGAAGATCGTATCCAGCGCTCGCAGTGATAATACGTTATCCTTTCTATGTGGTTAGATGAATGTCATGCAGAATATTCTGTTTGTATGCCCATAGGCAGGGAGAAACGAGACCTGGATATTTGCAGACGACCGCTGTTTATCTGGTCACACCCAGAGGACAGCGGGCTGTGAACTTGCAATCAGACAGACCAGTACCATCCTGTTTCGGCTCAAAGTCAAACGGCCTCCCTGATGTAAATCTCAGCTTGACTGCCGTTTTATTTCAAATATCACGCATGAATAAAAGAAGATATATCAATGGGAATGTCTCCAAGCTTACCTTCCTCCTCACATTAAATCAGCGAGATTCTCTTCTCTTTGACGACTTGAAATTTCCTCCTAGTATCACCTGGCTGTCACAACTTCCACCATGCTACCCAGTGAGACTGGTTTGGGAAACCAGGCCACGTTGGCTAAGATCGACAAGTTGAGGGAGCTGAACGTCGGCGCCATCATCCCGTTGCCCCAGGTAAGTCAAGGGAGTATATCACTCTGCAGATTGCTAATTCTGTAATAGCTTGTCGTCGTTGGAGACCAGTCATCCGGAAAGAGTTCTGTTCTGGAGAGTCTGACGGGTTTCTCTTTCCCTCGCGCTGCTGGTCTCTGTACTCGCTATGTGACTCAGATAACGTGCCGCCGTGAGACGGAGAAGGGCATTATCGTCTCAATCATTCCTCATCCGGACGCAGATGAGACACTCAAGGCCAAGCTTCTTCAGTTCAAGCGTCACTTGTCAAGTATCGACGGTAATGATCTCGCCAGCGTCTTCGAAGAGGTTTGCAACACACTGACATATTTGGTTTTCCGCACTGACGACATTATTGCAGGCCAACATTGCCATGGGCATCCGGATGGGTGTGGATGACAAGGACGTTGGGCTTGCGGCCTTCAGTCAAGATATCCTCAAGATTGAGATTAGCGGACCCGATGTTAGCTCTCACCGGACCTCGTGGCTCTCTTCATCGCTAACACCTCTTGAACAGCAACAACATCTCACTGTCATTGACGTTCCGGGTATTTTCCGTGTCCCTACACCAGGTAGACTATATCTAATTCACTGAGAGTGTGCACTTATTAATTGGCGAAACACACAGGGCTTACTACGGAAAGCGACATCGTTCTCGTCGAGAATATGTTGAAGTCATACATGGCAAATCCACGAACCATGTGAGTGTTTGAAACTGCTGTCTGTAAACTCGTTTAGCTGACGTATAGTAGCATTATTGCAGTCATTTCTTGCACCGTCGACATTGCCACCCAGGAGATTCTCAAGCTTGCTGAGGTTGCTGATCCTGAGAAAGTGCGAACGATGGGTGTGCTCACAAAACCGGATCTCGTCACAGAGACGGCCACCAGAGGCGGCATCATTGACCTGGTTCTCGGGAGACGAAGCACCCTCAAACTTGGATACTACGTGGTCAAGAATCGCAGTGCAGATGACAATTCCTCGACACTTTCCGAGCGTGCTGCCGCCGAACAGGCATTCTTCATGGCGCCTGCTTGGTCGCCCATTAGCGATCGCTGCGGCACCACAGCCCTCAAGCTCAAAGTCCGTGAGTTGCTCATGCACCTTTCCAAGCAAGAGTTTCCCCATGTCAAGGCGGACATTGAGCAGCGCCTACGTCAATATAGGTCTGATCTGGAGACCATGGGCCCGTCCAGAGCCGACTCGAATTCCCAGAGGATGTATTTGGGGAAACTGGCCTCGAGATTCTTGGCCGTCACTCAAGCTGCCCTGAACGGGTACTACGCCGGAGATAGCATCTTCAAGAGGCAGCCGAACCTGAAGCTGATTACGAAGATCATGAAGCTGAACGAGGTCTTTTCTAATGTTTTCTGGAAGAGAGGCCACAAACAGCACTTTGGGCCTACGTGGGATGACGAGGGAGAGAGCTCGCTGGGGCGCAATGTGGACCAGCTGCCTTTCGAAATCCCTCTTAACAAATATCCCGAGCTTGAGGCTATTATCCGCACAGACGACTACCGATGCCCCAAGCCCTCGAAGGGGCCGATTATGGGCCATATCGAGGAGGTTTTCGAGTCGAGCCGCGGACCTGAGCTTGGAACAGTAAGATTTCCCAGCTGTGTGTTGCTTAGAAAGTTATTCACATGATTATTCTAGTTTGGTGGGACGATTCTTGCTACGGTCTTCGAAGAGCAGGCGGAGAAGTGGGAGCCGCTCGTGTTGTCTCACGTGAGCAACACAATCGCTCTTGTCCACGAGTACATCTTCCAGCTCCTCACTGAGCTGTGCCCCGAGAAGCAGGTTAGAGACAACCTCTGGGATGCTCTCCTGCTTGACAAGTTGATCGAAACGTACCAGCGAGCGATAAGCCACACTCACTTTCTTCTGGGTATCGAGCGTGGAGGTACACCGAACACATTCAACCACTACTTCAACGCGAACCTCCAGAAAAAGCGTAGCGAGCGTGTCTCCAAGACCTTCGAAGCTATGGCAGTCTCTTCTCCTTGGGACAACAACGAGCGATACGTTGCTATGAGTCAGATTGGCAAGCATGCTGTTGACAAAGATAACGGGCAGCAGGTGTGTGAGGACATCCTTGATACGCTTATGAGTTACTACAAGGTATCCCGGAAGCGCTTCGTCGACGTCATCTGCCAGCAGGTCGTTTTCCACCTCATGCTTGAAGGCGACGGGAGCCCGATCAAGGTCTTCGACCCGGAGCTGATCATGAACCTTGACACCGAACAGCTTGAGCGGATTGCAGGTGAGGATGCGGAATCGAAGCATCAGCGGCATGTCTTCAAGAAGGAGATGGAGAGTCTGGAGGCGGCTTTGAAGGTCTTGCGGTCTTGATTCTGTCATGGGCAGTGCCGCGGAGCTGGAGCGAAGGTGTTCAACACAGCAAGGCAGAGGTTCTGAGCAGCGGCATTCAACAGCCGACTCTTCAAAAGTGCATTTCTCCTAGTTAGACTTTTTCTCAGTCTTTACTCATTCACTGAAAAAAAAGCATTGGGCAGGTGAACTTCAATCTAATAGCTTATGAAATGTTATTAATCTTTAACCTAACGAGTCGCCGTTGGTTTGAAAATGTCGTCTGTAGTCTCGATTGGTCGAAAACGGTCAACTTCATTTGGCGCATCCGGGACGCCGTACAAGGGCTTGAGGGGCCGTCATTTGACGTTCCTGCTAGTAACAGCTTCCGAATTGTACCGCCGGATAACCCCACCTTGGCCGGAGCCGTGGTGTCGCTGTTAAGGGGTCTGAATGTCGACCGACCTACTAGGACCATTCCTAATCATAACAAAGATGTCCCGAAAGGCCAGCCACGCCAGCCTAAGGTGGGGAATTGATTGGACAAGTACGCAACTGCGGTGAGAACACGTCGACCCGACATCGTGCTATCCCATCGGGTGCCAATGGACAGCACTTTCGCCAAGACCACGAAGTGCCCACTTTTTGCCCATTATTACCCCGCATTTAAAGGGGTACTTGACGATACGTCACTTATCCCTATGCTCTTTTACCTATTATCACCACTATTACTTACATTCTGATTGATGCTGTGATGTCTTCTGGTGATTCTGATACGTCGATTGCTTCCAATACTTCTGTACGCAGCTGTATAGTAGTAGAGGTCCACCCAGAAGACCTTGCTGCTGCCTGTAATACAGACTGTACGCCAGAGCGCTGTGACGCGGCAACAGTCCGGCCCCGCGAACCTCCGGCTACCGAGCATGGTCATCCGGGCTCCTTCCGACCCTTTGACGTGCCGGCCCGGGCCCAGAAGGTACGGGGACTGCCAGCCAGCCCGCTTGACCTATTCGTCCAATACGTTCCGCAGAGCCTCGTGGAGCAGTGGGCTCAGTGGACGAATGCAGCGCCGTCGTCGTCTAGGGAGGGTCCCCCAACTAAATCAGCAAGAGTGAATTCATGGCGGAATACTTCAGTAGAAGAGATCTACCTTTTCTTAGGGATCCTATTATATATTGGGATTCATAGTAAATCTAGATTATCAACCTACTGGTCAACCCAGCAGCAAAAGGAGGATCCTATCCATCTATTTACGCGGTTCATTTCTAGAAACCGATTCCAACTACTACTTCGGCGGCTGCGGATATTCAACACTACTGAATTTCAGCCCGACCAGCCCGACCAGCCTGACCAGTCCGGACAGCCCAGCCAGGGTCGGGGCCGGGGATGGGGACGGGGACGGGGACGGGGCCAGGTCCAGGCCCAAGATCAAATGCAAGATATATACCGAAAGGTTAACCAGTGGTCAGCCCACATCCAAGAGATTGGGGATTCACTCTATACAACTGGTTCAGATCTTACAGTTGATGAGGCTATGGTCCGATTTGAAGGTCGATCTCTAGAGACAACAACGATTCCAACGAACCCTATCCCAACTGGCTATAAGATCTGGATCCTTGCCCAGTCTGGCTACTGTATACGGTGGCTATGGCACGTACATGGAAAGGGCCCATACGCATTAGTCCCCCAGGCGCAGCCCGCCCAGCCTAGCCTAACCCGGTCGACTAGGCCAGCTGCTAGAAAGCTAGCTCTGTTGACACCAACGCAACAGGTAGTAACTACGCTTGTTTCCTTACTTCTAGCTTCAACCTACCACGTATTTCTTGACAACCTCTTCGCCTCTATACGTCTCTTCCGTACCCTACGGAATCAACAGGTTGGAGCTTCTGGTACCTGTCGGAAGGATAGTGGGATAGACGAGATCCTAGTCGCTGAGAAAGAGACTGAAGGACGGGGTATCCCCTGGGGTAAAGTACACTGTATCCCTACTTTAGATGGGGAGGTAAGCTGCCAGCCTGCTCTTCTCAGCCTGCCCACCCCAGCTGACTAGTAAGCAGGTCAACCAATTCACCTGGAAGGATAATGCCCTCGTACTCTTCCTATCAACTTCTTCCAGAATGGCCAGGAAGTTATTCGCAGCCGCCGCCGCCCAGCTGGGGATTCCGCTGCCAAGAGAGCTTCACGGCAAGTCTTTGGCCCGGATGTACGTAAGGACCTACCAGTTCCTAGGGCAATCGATGAATACAACCACAAGATGAATGGGGTTGATGTAAGTGACCAGATGAGGTCATATTATCAATACGGCCACCCTATTCGCCGAGGGGGCTGGCAGTCAATTGCCTGGAATTTCCTGCTGGAAGTGGTAGTTGTGAATAGCTTCCTGCTACAGCTCTGGGGTAGCCCTAGGTGGCAGAAGATCAAAACCCACTACCAATGGCGGCAGCTGCTTACAGCCCAGCTTATCCAGCAGTTTGGCCCATTAGCAGGCGGACGACGACTTTCACGACCTAGACGGGCTACAGACAAGAGAAATACCTCTATTCCATGGGAGCAGCATCGTAGGGGGTCAAGGGGGGTATGCTCGCCTTGCTCTTATTGTAGTAATAGGGGGTCATTAAGAGCCCGCCAGGCTCAAGGCGAGATATCTAGGAATAACCTCACGCAGCAAGTAAGAAAAACTCGGCAGGGCTGTTGAGACTGTAATGTACCTGTTGGATCTCTGAGCAGTCGGCAGAAAAGGTGGATCTGGAAGGCGGTATGGGCACTTACAAACGACCCCTTACATACCACTTCTGAGAGGCCGTGGGCTCTGCCCACAACCTCCTCCTTCCACCTCAAGACGCAGCAATAATAGACCATTATTGACACTTCGTTCCAACCGTACGGTTGCCCTGCTGACGTGTATACCAACAGTACCTTTATGTATGAAGGGCGACTGCTGGTACCTCTGGCATACACAAAATATATAGAGAATAGAAGTACTGGAAATCCTGTTGAATCATTGGATAAGTCTAATAGGCTGGGAAGTTCCTATTGGCTCTACCCCAACTCTTGGCAAAATGAGGTGAGTTAGCACCCGATGGGATAGAAAGCGGCGTCAATAGCACGGCTTCTCATCAGGTCCTCTCTATTCAAGACAAGCCGAACTCAGCAACCCATCATGTCATCCGATTCAGAGGCAGAAAGTGCAGCCGCGTCCAGTCACAAAATCGACACTGGGGACTCTGGAGACAACGAGGCCCTCAGCAGTCTCAGGCGCATTCTGGCGGAACAGAGTCATCTCTTCGCATGCGGGGGCGATATCCCCATCCGTAATTCCACGTCACCGGCTGAAGGTGGTGGTCAAGATGAGCAAAGAAAATCAGACCCCATCACCATTCGCTGGGATCTGGATGGGACTGGGGACGACCGAGCCTGCGCCAAGCTCAGCCTACCACCGGCCCAAGGAACGGAGGCAGGGCTGGACCGACTCCTCCATCATTCTCGACCCGCCACCTTCGGCCGCGGTGGCCAAGACGTGTACGACGAGAGTTATCGCAAGGCACTCCAGATGGACCCTGCCGCATTCTGCACCACGTTCGACCCCTACTCGGTGGGGATTGTCGATGTCGTGGCACAGGTACTGCTGCCGAGCGTCTGTGATTCGACCACCCACCGGGGCGTGCGCGCCGAGCTATACAAGCTAAACGTAAGTAGAAGGTCGTCAATGTCAGAAGAGTTAATTAATCTTTTATTAATTGTACCAAGGTATACTCTGGGCCCTCTGGCAGGTTCAAGCCACACGTCGACACTCCACGTTCCGCCTCGCAGTTTGGATCTCTGGTCGTCTGCCTCCCCGTAGCGCACGAAGGCGGTTTTCTTCAAGTTCGCCATAAAGAGCTCGAGGTAACGTTTGACTGGAGCACCAACCAAGAAAAGCCCAATGACGACTCAATCGGCTGGGCGGCTTTCTACAGCGATTGCGAGCACGAGGTGCTTGAAGTCACCAGCGGCCATCGGCTCACCTTGACATACAACCTTTATGCCGTCCGCGGGGCTGGGCGCCTCACCGGTGTATCGCCGACATTGAATCCGGCTTCCATGCCCCTGTTCAAGGCACTGAAGGAGACGCTATCCCAAGGCCCCTTCGGTGGCCGAGGTAGGCAAATTACTTAATACTCGATTATCCTGAACGTTTTGAATCTGGCCTAAGCACCCATAGGTGGTACGATCGGCTTCTGGTGCTCGCATACCTACGCCTACAACCACACGAAAGAGGCGCCCCTGCCGGCCACCCTCAAAGGGGCCGACGCGGTCCTTTGGGAAAGCCTCCAAGCTCTAGGCCTCAACCCCAAAGTCGCACCGGTCATCACCATGAGCGCCGACGTCCGAGAGAGTTTCTCCGAATGCTACGATGATGCCGATCCGGATCCGTGGCCCTACACGATGCGTCTCAGGAAGAAGCTCCCCTCCGCGATGCCGTCCGAGTGGATTGTCGGGTTCATGTTTGGCGTCCACGTCGACAGTGGTTGGCAGACCGAGTCACTGGAGGATTATCACAACATCTACCAGCGATGGGGCTCCTATACTCACGAGCCGGTTCGCTGGCTTACGATGCCAAAGCAGTCCGAACTACAATTGGTGTACACCGCGGTAAGTTGTTTTTTCTTCGAGTTGTTCCCTGTGTGCATTTGGCTGAGATACGTCGCAGTACGGCAACCAAGCAAACGCGGGAGCCATGTACTCAAACTGCGCCATTTTGGTGGATATTCTTCCTCGCGAATAGGAAAAGATGGCCACCTAAAGCTTGCCGAGTCCGACTTACCTGAATATATCTTAAGACTCAAAATAAGTAATACAAACCTTTCGGCTTGAAACCGGTGTCACATCCGTCGTGCGCAGCTTTTCACACTGTCGGCTGCTTGTTATGTTGGCGAATTAAGCGGAGTCAGTAGACTCACGCACAGTGCCTAATGGCGGCGGCTGACCGCAGACCGTGGGTTATCGGGATCTCTAACGACAAGCACTCGGAGGAGTCCGCGCAGTACTAAGCGGTTTGCCGCGCTGCACCACCGTCTCCTCCGCTGCCCACTGAAAGGGTCTTCCCGCACGACTCTTGCCGCCTGATGTGTCGATGTGGTGGCCATGCGAGCCAGACCGCAGCGTTGCGACTTCAGGCGCTAATGACCGCCCACCGGCCGCAGGCGCACCTATTCCCCAGGTTGGCGGTTATTACCTCCCGGTTGTACAACAACAGAGATTCGACCAATATACGTACAATTGACCTATTACGATTACCCCTGCCAATCTGACATATCTACCCGTTCTCACCGGTTCTTGCATATTACAGCTATGCGGATAACCAAGTTTCAGCTACCTTTTATCCGGACACAGGTGTCAATCTAACATACTTATCCCCATTTCATTATGCCACTGCTGACCATACTGAAGATCTGTCAAAATCCTAGTTATTCATTGGTTGACTCGAATAGCCTCGCAAGCCCTTATTGGCTCTACCCCGCCCTTGGCGTTTCTGACGTTAATCCGCACTCGATGGGATAAATAACAGAATTGCCCCCACCGACAGCATCAATTGCCTCTGATTTACCTCACAAATTTAAACACCATCTCATAGCCTATCATCTCCCGAGAGCTCGCTACAATGACTTCAAGAAATCTTCGACAGCAAACGGCGCCTGGCCAGCGGTTCGCCTTCCGAAGGGACCCACGGAGAGCGAGATAGATCGCGACTGGAGAATGGAAACTAGAGTTAGAGAGATTGGTGATTGGGTGTATACGGGAGCGTACAAGACTTCCAACAGCAGCTCGGCAGTCCAAGGTATTGCTATGTTGATGACGCTGGCGATGCTCCTGCGCAGACAGGGCATTTGCCGGCCATAGTCTCTCCAGGTTGCTGAGCTCGCCCTCGCAGATGGGCAGGGCAACATTGATTGGCAGCCCGCGCGTCAGCACACCAGGAAATATCATAAGCTCGATCGCAGCCACACCCATCATAGCGATAAAACTGGTCGTCGCACATCTTGTGTTGTAACTTAACCCTTCAAAGGTCGGTCGGCTTTGTGCAACTCTAACAAGGTTATTATCCTTCTCCACGATTTTAGACAAGCTTTACCTACCTATATTACCTGGAGAGCGTTCGACGATCAGTGCGCGCCGTGAGGTAAGATGGAGAATGAAACGAACATGGGCTAACTATGACTACGCAACGTGGAGCGATGCCCCCTCTGGCCCTTACCAACTGCGGGGTCGTAATTGCTGCCTGAGGCCCCACATACGCTTCAGCCGGTGGATCCAAAACTGTCTCCATAGCGCTTCCCGCCATTTTTTATCTTTTACTCAACGACACTCACCATGGATACGATACAACCTTCAACCGATGGGAAAGCGGAAACTGCTACAACGCCAGCTCATCCTTTGCGGTTCTGCTTCAGGGTCAAAGTGGAGGAAATCCCTGGTGTACCCTTACAGCGCTCGATAACCCTAGCCAACGACTTCTTGTCACAAAACTTTCAACGGGGTTTTACTTGGGATAGCGACTATATTTACACGCCACATGACATTGCCGACAGCGGAAAGAAATGGATACTTCTTGATGTGGGCAAAAACATTTCAACAAGTTCCCAGTATGATGATGTAGAGCTGGAGGTCTATCGAGTTAATATCGATGATAATACGTTGTAAGTTTCCTATCATGTTATATCTTCAACCTGGCTGACTATTATATGTATAGCAATTATGAGAAAGCGCATTACTCGGATATCCGAAGGTATACCTCTATTTTCCCGTGGGGTGGTCGACCATAGGACAAAAGAAACCAGAGTCGGGACCGGAAAGTAGAGGTCATCACGACAAATAGAAGGATCAATGTCAAGAGGCTTTGCAACGAGCGATTTTACGTTCAGCAAAGTTGAGTGGCGATTACGCATTCAGTTGGGAGTCTAGTTTTGGACGCCAGTGTCAATGGCGAGACTCAAGGCCGGAAGCGGGCCGGTTGTTGTAAGAGAGGGCGACAGTCGTTATCCTCTTTGTAAAGCGTGTCCTTGGCCCGTTGGCCGGCGGAAGATTTGAGGGCACGAAGAGTACTGTACGTAGAGAGCAGCAGCGCTACCGCAAGTGCAATCAAAGCAAATTTAACCCCCAAACTTGCTGTTGATGACTTTTTTCACGAGGGTTTGATTAATTGGCTTACTTGCAAGTATAATAATTCAATCACCATACAAAACTAGGTCATATGAGGCTCACGATGATCCCAGTAGCCCGAAGTTATTCTAAAGCATCACTACCCCCCTCTTCAGCCAGTTTTTTGTCAGTTGGAGGATCTCTATATTAGAGGGCACCCATCAACGCATACGCGTTCGTAGTAGAGGCAGTGGCTCCAATCATACATTCAAGGCAGGTAGGGTCACGCGACGGGTTGTTCTGATATCTCGCGGCTGCTTGGATTGCTCCCATACATCAATACAGCGAGAGTAACCGAATATTCCACTCACGCCTTCCGCCGCCTGCCTACCTTACCTACCTCCCGCAAGCTCCTTCGGTCACATCCTCGCGCCGCCCACACACGCGACAGTGAAATACCTTACTTCTGCCGTATCCACGTCCATCTTTCGGCAATCTGTGCCCGGCTTCCAACCACTACCAGCTCGCCGGTTCCTTCGCCAGCGTCTTCATACTTCACCTTTCACGACGCCGCAGCACCGCCGCTTGACCGAGCTCTTCCATCTTCTCACAGAAACCACAACTGCCCAGCGCGTACACTTCGCGGGCTCTCGTCCATCCTTGACGCCTGCCATTTTTGCGAGGCCTATCGGAGAGCGCGTTGCCGTTGAACAAGAAGAAGGTACTTCGGCGCACTCCCCACAGACAAGATGCAGAAAGAGCTGACCACCGCGACTAGCCCAGCAATCACGCGTCGAACACACTTTCTCGCCTCACCCGTATCTCGCGAGAACTCAGCCGATCGACCAACTCGGCCAGAACAGCCAGCGCTATCGCGGCGCATCAAGGCCTCCTTCCCTCCTTCGTTCCTCTCGCCTACCCTCTTCGCGTCGCGCGTCGCTGCCTCGCTGTCTCGTCACAATGGCGTGCGGTCGCCCCGCGCTTATCGTCAAGGACGACAACGTCGAGATTATCGATGACCCTCGCCGTCTGCCACCCAGACCAGGTAAGTAAGACCGATGCGGTAGATGTCGTAGGGTATGTATGGCGTTAATTGCTGCCCGTAATTAACGGCGTCGTTTTTGCGACAGTAGACAATCCGCCCCAATCCGAATACCGTCAACCCAGCCCAGGTCGCTAACGTCAGTGGATTGATTGCAGACCGAAGCCAGCGTCGGCCGCGTAGCCCATCCAAAGAACGCTCGCCCAGCAAGCGCCACAAGGCAGGTACCGGCGAGAACGGCCTCGTCCCCTACAGCCTGCCGCGCGATTCATTGGGCAACGCGATCCATTCGACTGTAGATCGACATGGCAACAGTCACCCGGACGACTTCGAGACCCCACTGCTCCCCTAGGTTGTCTTCGCATTACAAGACGCGCGAAAGAGCCGGCGGGGCGCCTCCAACCCTCGTCGCGGTCGGATGAAGGAGTTCATGCTCCCGCAGTCGCACCATTCGTGCCATTACCTCCACCCGCTGCTGCCGGCGGGTTTCGACTGGGATAAGTTGCTCTGTGCCTGCGTCTACTTCTCCGGCTTCGATAGCGCCAAGACAGTATTCCGCGTCACGCTGCAGCGCGGCAACGTCCCGCTCGCGGCCGGCTGCATAGGACGAAGCGGAGAGTTGTTTTGGCTTTCCTGGAGGTGCGGGTGAGTACAATCGGGTGTGAAGTTGTATGTCACCTGTTCGTAGTCCTTCCGTTGTCCTACCAGGCAACGGAATTGTTGGTATTCCTTTCACAGGGAATCTGGTTCGAACCGTAGGGTCCTGGGGGTGACGAAGTATCAATATCTCTGTATTGATTGATTCTGCGTAAGGAGTAGAAGGGAGATTCCAACCGGAGGTTGGGTGGGCAGTCGAGGTGTAATTGAGGGCCGAGGAGCTGGCCCCTGCTCCTGCCCTGACTCGCAGCCGAATTGGACTTCTAATCCGACAGCGTGATCCTTGTATCGGTCTACGAGCTGCGGCTTTTTTTTGGGCAGCTCTCCTGACAACGTCTCCCCAGATCCCAGTCCTCTTTTCAAAGCATGTGCTTCTTGCATCGAGTATGAGCTATATATCATGAATACCTTGATTGAAGGAGCAAGTGCTCACAATAAAAAGTATTCGACATTGTTTGCTTGAGCCTTGCTCAAGTAAGATCACAAAGGTGCTTCGTCTCAACCGTTGGCTCAGTTTCCGGTTCATAAACGCGATCACTGAGCAGATGTATTACAACAAACTAACGGTGGCCGTCCGGCGCCTTACAGCGACCCGTCACCTCGGTTCCTCTGCAGTGCGCCGTAGCCTGGACCACCCCGAACAGCTTTGACACCTTACCTTGTCTGAAGTACATGTCCCGTGTCCAGTTCCCCTCCATATCTTGCAAGCCGGATCCGCTGGGAAACCCGACAAAAGAACCGGTGAATTTTGAAAGAACTTCTGTCAGCTCGGCAGGCACGTGCGGCAGCGGTTGTTCGCGTCTGTAGAGCTTTCGTCTGATGGTTTGAGGCTCCCCTTTCAGCTCCCGACGTGTCCTCCGTCTCCGCTTCACCCGATGTCTCCACCTTCGACCTTTCCTGGTCAGGAATGGTCTCGCTCGACTGTCTCTCTTGTTTACCCAGCTGGCTGTCACCAACTGACCTAAACGTAGACGCGCAAGCTTCCATCTCAAAGAGGTCGTGCAAGTCGATTTCAGGCAGCCCGAGGAAGGAGTCTTCTCCAGCCGCGTTCATCGCACTCGCAGTGTCAGTGTCACTCATGACAAAGCCCCCCATCAAGCCTTCGACATCGTGTTTGAACAGTGCTGTATCCGCGGGTAGTTGGTATCCTGCTGGGTTGTTGGGGTCTTCGTCAACATCAGCGTGATCTTGCGGGACGTCCGACACTGTGCCGCCAAAGACAGCGGCGCCGTCGTCATCGGCCTCGATTTCGTGTGGGGCATCCACGTCCCCACTTAGAGCTTCCTTCGCCTTTGCGTCTTCGACTCCAACGACATCGGGCTCTCCCTGTACACTGCTTCCGACCTCCCCCATTTCAACGTTGTCGCCCGTCTCCACCGTATTTTGGCCAGGCTCCGACGTTGTTCTCTTCCGTTGACGGCGTATGACGCGGCGGCGGCGTACACCACCGTGCATTCCGTTGACGAGTTCCGCCAGCTGGTTCAGATGCACGTCAGTTCAGGTCGGCCATTCAAACGGCAGAAGAATTTCCTGCTGCAAAGACCTACAAAACCATTCACGTCGGGAATGCTTTGGCCGTCCGGTACATAGACAGCTCCATCCAACTGACCGTGAGTCGGATTGAAATGGATGACGGCTGAGAACACCTGGGCGCCCTTGCCCAGCTGCACGGCCTTTCGTTTCGCGCTTGCCCCACATTTCCGGACCTTCTCTTTGGCTTTTTTGTCGTATGTGAAGACAACCTCGTTCGACACCACGGGGGCCATGGTGTGTGAGTTGAGTGATCTACAACCCAAATGTGATCTACCCCTTATTGCCCAAGAATACCTCTTGTATTGAGATGGGACTGTATTGCCCTCAAATACGACTTTATGGAATGGAAGCCGTTGTCGGCTTTGAGATGGCCCTGAAGTGAGCCAATTTGATATCTCGTTGCCTCTTCATTCCCTTGCGGTTCATACACCGCAGCTACTTGATGATCTTCAACTGAATTCTACTCTTCCTCCTATGATTTGGACAGCTAGTAATGCCTTCCGTTGGCCTTGTGTACCGAGCGGTCGTTGGAGAGTAGGCGACTCACATATGGCATCAATCGAGAAACCATTCAAGATACACAACAGACCCTTAAGATTTACTTTGGCAACTGCGAGATCTGAACTCTGCTGTCGAGGAGAGAGACATTTTGAACGTTGCGAAGGTGCTTGAACTGATGAAGGCAACGGGCTACTCCTTTGAATACGTGTGGTGAGACGTGGTGACCGGATCATACTAAACTGAAGAGGGCCAAACGCGGGTCAATCCGCAACGCACTGCACAGCCACACCTGACCACAGAACCTGGTCATTAAGGGTAAAGAAATCGTCATTGCAGTCGGTTCTGGATCTTCTCGGCAATCTTCCCGACAGGGGCACAAGCGACAACACGCAAACTTTGAAGGTGCGATGTTTGATGATGTCCAAGGCCTTTGCTGGGAGTAGTAAGTTCGCTTTACCTGGATTCGTCCCACGTTTGCGGCCGAAATCGGCTTTCGGGTGCACCGGTTTGATTTGATGTTCGATTGATTTCGGGTGCTTATGGATGTTTCTGCCCAGTTGCCGAGAAGCGATGTGGCAAAATGTGGCGTCTCTGCACAGCGTCTCATTGCAAATAGTCTAGAAAGCACAAGTCTGCCCTTTGTATAAAAATCTCATGCCAACAAGCAGCAAAGCAGCATAAGAGATATGTACAGTAGTCAGCGAAAAGGGCTTCATCCCTTTCACAACTCTCTGATGTCTTTCCGCACGGACGTCTGCCGTCTTGGCACCAACACAACAACTGTTAGAAGGGCAAAACGCGCTTACTGGACTACTAAGATCGAAGAGGCTAAGACAGACCAAGACCTATATAAGATAGTAGGCTGGCGGAAGGCTGGCTTAGCTGTTAAAGGCCCGCCTCTTATAGTGGAAGGTCAGACAATCGACAACAGCTACGATAAAGCCCAGGCCCTACGAAAGGCCTTACTAGAGAGATTCAACGCTACAGACGACTTACCTGGGGACCCTTTCGCTATCCCAGTAGTTGCACGGCGTCTAATGCCCTGGCAGGATGTGGTCAGCATGGAAGAAGTACGCCAGGCTACTCTAACAAAGACTACAACCCCTGGGATTGACGGGATTACTACAAAGTTACTACAACACACCTGGGAATCAGTAGCTAGGCCTATACAGCAGCTCTTCCAGGCCTGTATTCAAGTAGGCCACTTCCCTCGACCGTTCCGCAAAGCAGAAGTTGTCATGACCCAGAAGCCAGGGAAAACAGACTTCTCGAAGACTGGGTCTTGGCGTCCGATATCCCTTTTATCCTGCTTAGGTAAAGGCCTAGAGCGGCTAATAGCAAAAAGGATGGCCTACCTTACTATCCTAGAAGGGGTTGCTAGCCCACAGCAGGTTGGAGCACTACCAGGCAGGGCTGCAGTCGACCTAACAGCCTGTCTGACCCACGAGATCGAGAGGGCTCTAGACTTGGGGCTCACTGCAACTCTTGTGACAATGGACGTTAAAGGGGCTTTTGACTCTGTCCTAAGAAACCGACTTATTATCAGGCTACGACAGCAGGGTTGGCCTAGTCATCTGATTAGGCTGATCTTCACCTTTACCTCTAGCCGAGCAGCCCGGGTCAGGCTAGAGGATACAACTACAGAGGATTTCCCTCTATCCTGTGGGCTACCACAAGGCTCCCCACTATCCCCTATTCTCTTTTTACTATATATAGCGGATATCCTAGCCGACGATCAAGAGCTACGGTTTGGCTATGCGGATGATATAGGCTTAGTAGCTACTAGCCCGTCGCTAGAAGGAAATGCTATAGCCCTAGGCCAAAAGATCACTCATATCCTTAACTGGGGCACTGATAACAAGGTTGCTTTTGACCCAGCTAAGTGTGAGGCAGTCCACTTCAGCAGGAAATATAACCAGACAAAAGACCTACCAGATATACAGGCGACGGGCCTAACTATTAAGGCCTCAACTAAGCCTGTACGATGGCTAGGAGTCTGGTTCGACAAGAGACTCACCTTCCGTCACCATGTCGAAACTAAGGTGGCAGCGGCAAAGAAGGTAGCCCAGTTCCTACGGCACCTAACAAATACCAAAGGGGGACTCCCAGCAGCCGCAGTACGAAAAGCGGTTATTGCCTGTGTCCTTCCAACAGCCTTGTATGGAGTTGAGACCTGGTATGCGGGCCTAACCAAACCAGCCCTAAACAGCGGCACCAATACTAGCAGTAGCACTGCTTTACAGATACCTACAGTTGGTACAGGACAGAAGGGCCTGGCCCGTAGACTTAGCAAAGTTATTACAGCAGCAGCAAGGGCTATCCTGCCTGTCTGGAGAACCACACCGACCAGTAGCCTCATCCGAGACGCTGGCCTTCCCACAGCAGAGGTAGCCCTCGAAGCAGCGCGACTACGCTTCGCTATACGCCTGCAGAAGGTTGACCAACAGCATCCCTTGGTCCCAAGGCTGCTGCAGTCAGGGCGGCAACAGACCAGGCTTCAAAGAACAGCTGGCCTTTTACCTAAGTGTCCAAGGCCAGCGCTCCTACAGCCGCAATACCTCCCAGGGTCCTATGACCCTATAGTTACACAGACGAAGGAAGTAGCAGCTAGGATCTTCCAGGCCTGGCTCAAGACTGTGCCAGGTCAGCATACGGTCGTATACTCAGACGGCTCCAAAGCTCCTGACGGAGCTACAGGGTACGGCTTTGTTATCTACCGCAACAATAAACGTATAGCCCAGGGCTGCGGCCGTCTCGGCTTAGCAGAAGTGTTTGATGGTGAGGCGGAGGGGGCGAGGGCTGGGCTCCGACGGGCCCTTCAGACCTCCCAAGGCCGGCCTATACACATCTGCATCGACAATACCAGCGTTATTCAGGGGATTCGCGGTAAGATCCCAGACTCCTCACAAGCGGCCTTCCTCGAGATCCAGGAGGTAGCTAGGATACACGATATACAAACCCATTGGTCTCCTGGGCACCAAGGTATTAAAGGAAACGAAGAAGCAGACAGCCTAGCTAAGGAGGGAACAACTCTACCAGTCCTTAGGGGCCAACTAGCTACTCTATCAGGTATCAAGTGGCTTGCTAAAGAGCAGCCAAGACGCCAATATAGACGATGGTGGAAACAAGAGGCAACTCCCCGCTATACCCAACTAGGGCTCAAGGCTACCCTTGCTTGCCCTCCTGAACTTGGCCTCCCTAGGGCTGCCCTTCATCACCTCCTCGCGGCACGGTCAGGCCACGGGGACTTTGAACAATATCACCAACGCTTTAACCACACAGAAGCACTACTCACCTGCTCCTGTGGATGGGTTAAGGAGGCAGACCATCTAGTCTACTGCCGAAAGACCCTACTGAGGAGGCAACAGTGGCCCACCCTCTACCCCTACAGCCGCCAGGAGCCCGTAGGACCTATAGGGTCCCTCGATCGCTACTTCAAGGGGCTAATCACTGACTCTGAAGGCTTCCAGGCCTTCCTCTGCGTGACAGACTTCTTCCAGAAGATCTGCCCGCGGTACTAGGAGATAGGTCATAACCTATCCTCCAAACGACAAACTACCTCTATTAAGAAACCAGATGGTTATAACGGAACTAGGGCACCAGTGGGAACTAGGGATGGATAGAACACATAGTAGCTCACGAGCAAGATTTGGAGGACGTCAGGAGACGGCGTGTACTATATAGTATATAGCTAGAGCCTGCGACCCTTCACGCCACATACCCTTCGGGAGGTCTGCCGCAAGGGCGGCTGCGCCCTTGCCGCCATGGCGTTAAATAGAACAACAACAATTGGCACCAACACAGTTTGGATTCACACTGCTGTACCGACCCACCATCGTGGCCCTGCTGACAGCTTTCACCCCACCTGATCCAAGTGTTTGGAAAATGGATTATGCACAACATTATTCGCTGCTGAATGTTTGCTGCTACTGCTTCAATTGCTTATGGCCTGCTTATTTTTACTTGGTGCTTTTTTCCCTGGTCTTACACATAGATACAATCTACATGATCCCAGGGTTTTAGAGATTCCACTATAAAATTAGGATAAAAATTCAAAGTGAATAACCAATAGAAAGTACAAAAGAGCTGCTCGGCCTATTGGAGACCCAAACGATTGATTCCCTCCGCAAAGTGGCGAACTGCTTGATGTTACGTGACCCAGCCGATGGCTTACCTGACTTCTACCTAGCCTGACCATACTCAAAATCTTGCGCTAGTTGTGAGTCTGGATTACTGGATCGTAGAATCAGCAACATCTATCTCTTCTAGCAGGTATCCTAAGCCATAGGTCTCTTGCCAACTGGGTCCGTGCACGACAGGAGCTTAAATTGGCTCCCTTGTCATCAGGCTAGGGTCTGATTTTGCCAAACAGCCCACTTCGGATGACCTGGCCCTGGCCTAGATTATTAAAGTAGTGAACGGCCTTTGTCCTGTGGATCGTGCTAAGCCGACGAGGCCCTTCATCCAAGTTTGGCTCACATTAGGATAGAAACATCTCCGCCAATATCAGCCATCTAGATATTTGATAAATTACGATGCAGCACCCGACGAAGCGAGCCATCTAGGCATTACTGAGCGACCTATTAAGAATTATATCACGGATAAAGAAATGCTGCGAGGCTGTAAGATTAGGCGCCATGGCTGGCAGGAAGATGTGTGTTGCAGACAGGAGGGTTGACAACAGATCCATAGTTCAGCAACCGACTTAAGGTCAGCTTCTAGAAGAGTCGATGCGAATGTAACACCCTCCGTTAGAGGATTAATTCTGCTGGTTTGGTTCACTTAAACTAAGGCCAAAGTAGAGTAGCGCAATTAAGCATCGGATGAACGTTCTTACGGCTAGGAGTATTTCCGCTGTCCGTTTCTTTGGATGGCTTTCCCATTAAACATTTAATATTACCGATGCTTTAGCCCCTCCAACCGCAGACCTTTCCACGTCGTAAGGACCATCGCCCAACTTACCCGATAGCTACTGTTTACCGTCACTTCCCGAGAATTGTTGTTGTTTGGTCTTGTTGTACGCGATGAAGTCTTCGACACACTTGGCAGTCACAAGTCATGAGGTTGATTTGTCAGCGATACTGCTACGTCGCACAAGGCTCTCAATTAGGATGACAACCCCTCCTTTCCGTCGGCAAGGAGAGTGATGATCTCCGGACTCCTAATTCCCAGCTCTCGACAGCAGAGCATGAACACGTTTGCGCAATATAGACCACATTTTGACGACAACATGATATGATGCACCCCGACCCCGACGAGGCGCGACATTCACTTGCTTTCGACGACTTGCGATGAACAGCTACCCTCAACCACGCCATCTCGACGACTTCCATATCGCTGTAATATGCGCACTGCCCCGCGAATACGATGCCGTCATCCTGGCTTTCGACGAGATATGGGACGATGATAGAGATGGGCGCGGGCCCGCGCCCAGGCAACACAACAATCACACGCTGGGGCGGATTGGAGTTCATAATGTTGTTTTGGTTCTTCTCCCCAGCATGGGAAAGGTCAGCGCAGCCAACGAGGTAGTCCGGCTCCGGTCTATCTATGTTGGGCTGGAGATAGCATTCTTGACTGGGATCTGTGGGGGAGTGCCTAGCCCGGGGATCGATCATGAGGTGCTGCTTGGGGATGTGGTGATCGGCAAAAGCATCGTGCAGTATGACCTAGGCCGACAGTACCCTGGCAAGTTTCGCAGGAAAGACGGTGTTGAAGACAACCTGAGC